CACAACAGCAGAGTGTCAGAGCTGGAAGAAAGCAGATGCATCATGTCGGTTGGCCTCCTTGGCTCACGTGCCAGCTTCTCTGAGCTCCCCCTCCACGCCGGGCGCTGTGCTCACGGCACGCTCCCATTTAATCTTTACAACAAGCCCGGGAGGTACGTCTACCTGTCTTCATTTGAACGGGAGGAAACTGAGGCCCGGAGCTAGGCAGTGACCTGCCCAAGTTCACACAGTAGCCTGGTGCCATCATTCTGTGGCAGAGACCAAGCCCCCAACCCCGGGCCTGCGGGGCGTGTTCCTGGGGGTCGGGCCCCGGGCCTGGAATGGGATGAGTGAGTGAGTCGGCAGTGATCAGCACAGTCCGGGTCTTTTGGGGGAAGGCCCAGTGTTGCAGAGGGCGGGCAGAAGGCAGTCGGCCAAGGGCATCAGCCTGCGGCATTCAAGGCCGTCCTGGCTCTTGGTTCCTCTCAGCCCGGGGCCTTCAGGGAAGCCAGCAGGGCCAGAAGGCACTGGTGATTCAGAAGTAGACCAAACCGGGTTTTAATTCCCGTCTTCCGCTCACCAGCTAGGCGAACTTGTGCAAATTACTGACCTTCCCTGAGCCTCAACGTGCTCCCCTTTAAAAATCCTCCCTCCTGGGCTTGGTGAGGATTTCACGATGTGGGTCTGTGCCCAGGAGCAATGCCCCCACTTTGCTCGGAGCTCTGGCTGCTCAACTGCTCGGTCTGTTCACGTTTCCCAGGGCTCGGTGCTGTGTCAGGGGCTGGGGCTAAATAAACAAATAACTCAAGGTCCCTGCGACCCAGAGCCTGCGGGTAAGCGGATGGGGGCAGGCGAATGGAAGGTGATGGGCGTATCTGGCATCTCTGAGGGGCTCTCCTGAATTGCTGTGTGGCTCGGAGCAGCCCCTCGCCCTCTCTGGGCCTCTGTCCCCGCCCTCCCAGAGCAGTCCTGTGAGGAGTCCGCCCCCGGCTTTCAGGCGAGCTTGTGCCAAAGATAAACCAGACAGGGAGGAAAAGTCCCTCCTCCCTGAGGATGAACCAGATCATGCACAGGATCCCAGCTCCTTAAAGAAAAGGAGGCACCTAAATTGTAGGGGCAGAAAGCTGTAATTTTCCGGCTCCTGGCACCCAGCCTCTTAAACTTTGACAGGGAAGATGGGCCCAGATGGAGGGTGGAGGCAGGGAGTCTTCCAGGGAGGGCAGGGGCTCTGGGAGGGGCTATTGCACCCCCGGGTACAAAGACAGGGCCTGGACGGCCGCGCGCGCCCGTGTGTGCGTGTGTGTGTGTGTGTGTGTGTGTGCGCGCGCGCGCCTGAGAAGGAGGTGGGAGGGGGGTGTCCTCAGGGCTCACCTCCAGGCTTCCCTGGGGGCATCTGTCCCTGCAGCCTGGAAATTAGGTTTGCCCAGCTCCCAGGCTGTCTCAGAGCCTGGCGCTTTCCTGTCTCCTGCAGCCCCGGGCTGTGATTGGCTGCCCCATGGGGATGCTGTAAAGAGAATGTGCACAGGGCGGCAAGGTGGATGGATGGGTGACGC